CCTGTTTTGTAAATTATCTCACATCTCTGACTTATCAAATTATATTATTTTATTTTATATCAATCTCTACCGCTATCGATACGGTGAAAACTATAACGGACTTAGGAAAAAATTCAAACAATAATTCGCTAAAATTTTTTTTTTTAATGTGCGATAGTGATGATATTCATAGTAACATCGATTGGCCTGCTGGGCTAGATAAGCGATGTCAAGGGTTCGATTCCTACCCAAGACCAGGAATTGTGTAATGATCATCTGTTTATCGGTCATATAATGTAATTTATTTCTAACAGGTATCTATTTATTTACCAATATGTATGTATATATTATATATGTATATTGATGAGCAGTCTCGTTACCATTGTTTAGGCTCTATCTATTTTGGTATCAGACAACCGCGTATGGCATGTAAAAATATTACTGTAATTTATTTCTACTGTTAATAATAATATAATAACAAATATCTACAACTAAATATGACTCAATTTAATTATTATCTAAATCCAATATTTTAATAATCATGCGTATCCTGTTTGTCCACGTTAAAACCAAACACAAAGAATTTGCGCCTATTCTTATCAGGTATGGGAATACCGTCCATTGCGCAAGACTACGGTTAACCCGTATTTGTGACCGATAAAGTATTTTCGATTACTCATCCAGAATATAATAGTAACAACAAATACAAGGATATTTACTACTTTTACGACAAGCAAATAGTACTACTATTTCCATAGCAATACGTCGCTAATTTGTTTATGTAACGGTAGAACTATATTGGTGATTTACTTGTTACAAAATGCGCTTAAACTGAAATGTGTGATAGGAAGTGGAGCTTTATTTCTTTATTTAAAAGGGCTAATTTGTTTTGGAATTAAGTTGGCTGTTGCCTACTAGTATTTACAAGTACATGGCAGGCTTTATTATATTTTTTCTTTGGGTTTTATTTCATTAAGAGCGATAGCATCTTGCCACCCACGCCGGTTTGTAATGACTTGCCATATCTAACTCTGTGCCGTACAGTCGTCTACAAAATGTGTACCGTTATTTAGAATTCATATACCACCTCATGACTTTAAAAAAAGTTAAACGTTTCCCTCAGATTCACATGCGTTTATAATCATTGTTCTGCTCCTAAGTGTTGTAGACTAATTATAGCCTAAAATCTTTTTCAATTAATATTCTAATACTAAACGAATTACTCAACTCTGTCTGACAGTTTAAGAGCCTTGCTCTATTTAATTTACTTAGTTTTTTTTAAAGACAACGCCCGCACTAGGAGCAAATCTTGTGGTGCCGGGGACTTTACAAACATACATGGAACGGACACAAAGAACACCCAGACTCAGACAATTTGTTAATCGTACAAAGTTTCGTCCCATGTGGGGATTGGACCCACAGCACTCAGCAGCGTAGCAGTGAGCGGCGTGGCGACCGCTTGAACCACTACGCCATCCGTGCAATCAAGTAGTTAGTATACTTCGATTTTTAAAAGAAGGTGACATGTATAGCATTTGTAAAATTTGCAAATCCCAGTCGTGTTTTCTAAGAAAATGTACTCGTTATTATAAGTAGGTAAATAATAATATAAGTAGTTTTCATATATACCTACATATGTCCTATAATCTAAATAATGAATTTTAAATATAATTTTCAAAGAATTGATATGAGAATCACTATTTTAATATTTTTGTATGTTATGTTGTATGTTGTTATGCTGTTGTTATGTTGTAAGCAATAAATTAATGCAAACGTTTTACAGGGTAGCGTTTTTTGCGAGGATTTTGCATGTAGAAATAACAAACTGCCCACGTAGTTTACCTATATTATTACATTTCTATACTAGACAAAATACTTGTCGATAGCCCGCGTCGACTTTTAAGACAACTCCCGCTCTAGAAGTATATCCTGTGTCACAGAGGACTTTACAAACGTACCATAGTATGGATATTTACGGATCACACAAAGTGTTGTCCCATGTGGGGATCGAACAGACAACTACAACCGAGTCGTAACCACTTAAACCACTACGCCAGCAATGCAGAAAAACAAAAAAAAAACATATTTTTTAAATAATTATTCGGGTTGCCATATCACTTTTTGTATTGTCGGTACACCGTTACAGTACGCATTGCGTCGTGCGGAGTTCATGTCCTCGACTCCTGTTTTATCTCCGGGAGAAAGTTATATTAGCTAAGGTCAGCGCCTTTATTTTTGGTAATACCTATTCATAAATGGTTCATACTTTACTAAATGTCGTTTTTAATTGAGCTCTAACACTATTTTATTGTACATTACTTGGTACATAACTGGTAATGATTTTATTTAAAAAGGCTGATTCAAAATGTTAATGATATTACAGGAATGATAACTAATGACGACACAGTTATGTGTTTTTGTTCAAATACTAATATGAAATATAAGTACTGAAACAAATGAATTATTATATAATAGGTAGGTATAAATATGTTTACTTATTTAGAAAATCATCAAATATAATATTTTAGCCCTTAAAACAGGAGCCCATATTTAATATAATTTAAAATTATAGACTACATAGTTTAGCGTAGACTATTAAGATATTTTTTACCTGATCGATATATTAATCAACTTGTTCGAAGTATCGCCAAAGAAACGGAATGCACTACTCTAACGAATAAGGAACAATATTGCAAGATCCGAACGACATTTTTTATATTTTCACATTGCTAATAGGTACGTTTGTATGTTTTTATACGTTTTGCTAATCAATCTTTGTTCGTAATGGAATTATGTGGGCAAGTCACAAGCGAGCGCGGGTAGCGAAAATCGCTAGTTGATATGCTTTTGATCAGCGATACGCTAAGATGATAGTTTAATGCATATCATTGTGTTTGGATGCTGTATAGATGGACTGATGGACTGGTAACATGGTTGATGGAACGGCTGAGTAGATCACTTCACAAGTAAAGAGCAAAAAGTGTTTGAGATTCGAAACAATAATATAAAAATAATAGTTACGAAACTGATTCTTTTTGTGTCAGATGTCTGAATAGTTATAAAATGAAGAAAACTGTATCTAAGAATATAAAATTATTTAAAAACAGATCACTTTACAGTACACGTACAGTATAGGTATGATATATATGTACGTTAGGTTAGTAACTAGAGCAAAACGTTTCTTGCTATTTTCTCCGCCACCTCTTATGACTTAGAGCAACGATTTATTATGTGTTAGTAAAGACATATCACCAACATGGTTAAATAGCGATTACGTTAATGTAAAAGCCTTGCTTTTTAATTAAGTTATTATGTCTAAAAAGGTCATATGAAATATTTGCGTTATTTATGGTAGAGGATATATAACGTGTTAGTAAATTGATTATTATTACAAAGATAAAATAAACTTTATTATCACCATTATAATTATCATCTACATATATAGTACAAGCTCTGCTTAGTTTGAAACTAGATGGCGTTGTGTGGCAAAAATAAAACTTGCCTTATTCCCAATTTTTTTTGGGTCGGCGCATTTTCACCTATTTATTAAAACCAAAATAAATATTACAAAATTTAATAAGATCAAGTTATCGTTATAACCTACTACTACTAACAAAATTTTATTTGGTGACTTCAATTAAACCTCACAATTTCTTTTCAATTGAATTTAGTTGCATTGTAACTTTTAAAATTAAATTAGTTTTAGTAATAATTTTTGTTTTATATTTATTGGCAACACTGGAAAGTTAGCACTTTCCAGATATTGTACTAACACAGTACGAAGCATTTCGTGTTGTAGATCACAGCCATCTTTTATTCTTTCGTTACTATTATTATACATCTCATAGAATAATATACCAGTCTTAAGTTATGTTGAATATTTACATTTTAAATTAGGTACAAGATTGGTATTTAATGCTGACTCACTTTTGGGTTCCAAGCGCGGCTGAGGCAACTTAAGTAGTTGCTTTATTGTATGTTTGTAACATAGCTGTTTAAAATCTATTCGAGAATGTAACTTTATCGTAATACATCCAATTTAATAACAATAAAAACTTGTATTTATTTATAGATGACACTAAGATTTGTCTGCCAAACTAATAATATTGGTACTATGATTTTATTGAACATGGCTACGAAGTGTCAGATCTAATCGCTTAACATTTTGTTGCTTGTGTGGCAAAAAATCACAATCAACGTAGTACTTACGCGGTTTGCCTATGTGATCCCAATTGGGTTTATAATTCATTTAAAGTAAATTAAAAAAAAAACAAAAGGATAAAATAAGTGTCCGTATTTAAAATAAGAACATCCAGTAAGTAGATTTTGTTTGACCTTAACTGCAGCTTTAAAATAAAACTTAAAATACCTTTTTATACACAGCTATAGATTTAATCTACTGGTCTACGCCAGATCAACTATGATGGTTTGCTTAGAGAATTAATTATAATACGTTATAATGTTTTATCATAAATAATATCAAGCAAATAAAAAGTTTATGACTGAAATATTCAATTAGATAATTGTTAGTAGTAAATATATATATTTTTCTATCATCAAGGTAGATCAACAGAAACCTTGTCAATTAAATTCGGCCCTGAGAAATACAACACGGTCACAGATAAAATAATTCATGTACAATTTATGTTAATAGTGGCACTTTAATAACTGCAAAGCATAAATTATACTTTAAAATTCGAACCCAAAGAACATGACTATATACAGTGCGACAAAAATCTTTTTACATAATATATTGTTATTTTACTCTTCAACCTCCTTAAAGTTACCTCATTGTTAACATATAAGGAGGAAAATAAGGAAGAAAGCCTTGCAATAGAGTCCAAATATATTATTTGGTCGAGGATCAATCGGTAGTCATAATTTCTATAAAATATATTATTTACATCATCTACTCGACCCCCACCTACCCCTATAAATTGGGCGAAAAAAGTTGCACTTTTCAAGGAATAAATGAAATAGCACTATGAAAAGCGAGTTTCGAAATAAAATAAAACACTTACCTAGCATTTTACTCAAGTCGGCATTATGTAGATCCGGATTCTCGTCAGCCAGTTTTTTCCTTTCCACCTTCGCCCATACCATAAAGGCATTCATAGGCCTCCTTATCCTCGCTTCTTTCAACGCCTTAGCCTGTCCCATTTTAGATGTGAACGGGGCTCTAGCATACTGTTGAGTGGAGTAATCCCGACTGGTGTCATAAGGGCTCCGGTATTCATACTGAGTTCTGTAGTCGAGGCCATAAGGTAGAGTCGACCATACGACCAGCTCCGGGCTGGGCTGTTCTTGGACTGAGTCGGTACTGTTTTCAACGGCTCCTTGCACGTATTGCTCATAGCTCCGGTGGTAAGTCGGTGGTGATTCTGCTATACCTGCTCCTCCTGAATCCATCATGCTGTGGAAAAATAAATAAAATTAGATAAATTTAAATGAATAGGTGTTTTAATTTAAAACTAATGTTAAATTTTCGATAGCAAAAAAACGGCCGGTTAAATATTTTGTACAACCTTTTTGCCGAAGATCAGTTACAATAACATTAAATATAAAATTTATGTAAACAGATCTTCGTTATGAAATAAGTTAAATCATAATAATTTTAAGTTTAAATTACAATTACATTGCTTTGTATTCAAAGCATTGCACCTTTTTTTTTATTTTAAAATAGCTTACGTTCGCATTTTGTAATATTAAAACGGAGGTATTAAACAATTCTCTAGTAGTCGATAAGTCCGTTTTCGTTCGTGGTTGATATCCTACTGTTTAAATATTAATACAACTTACAGGACCACATGATATGATTATCATTTTCCTTGTAAAATAACAATGATGTTAGCATAACAATAAAAAACTCAATAACGACGTAAATAATTTAAATTTATTTAATAAATGATGTTTAAAATAAGTAATTTATCATTTCTTTTAGAAATGATGAAAAAAAGGACAAGAATGCTTAAATTGTTTAAAAACATTTATCATTTAAAAAAATGGAGAGCAACTTTAACTTGAATTTAAAAAAAAAAACGATTTTCGGTGTAAATTAAATAAAAACAATAGGCATAATTAAAAGTGGGCAGAACAAAACGCATTCATTTTTTTAAATAAAACATCAACCTCATAGCTGACGATGTGGATATATTTTGTTGTTCTTTGAGTGAATTCACAATTACAGCACTAAGTAAAATTTGTTACTTTAGTTTGCAATTTAGTTTAGCTTAAATTTAATTAATGTAAATTCTGTAATATATTGTATGAAAAAAAAAATATCAACAACAAAAGAGAGACGGTTGATTTTTAAATACAAAGCCATTCCATATGGCAGATTATTGCACTTTTTTGATCATTGTTGATCAAAAATTCATTCACAAAAATGAGCAAATACAAAAATCTTAAAAAAAAACGTAATTTTTCAAAAAAACGTGAGGGGCACCAATAAGTTACATAAAGCTACTACTTGGCTATCATGCTTTTGGGTAGTTTACACCATCTGTAATTTTTTTTAACTTGCAACTTTCTTTGCAAGTTTTTTTTTCTAAGAAAATTTATTTCTTTAGATAAGTGCCCCCAAAATAAGAAATAAATGACAGGCAAAAAGACTAATTTGCTTGAGAGGCCTTCCAACGTAAAGAAACAAACCAGCGAACAGTTTCTAGAACCAGCTTTATAGTTTCCGAGACCCCCAGGCAATATGATCAGCTGTCTGCATCATATCCTATGTAACACGATGATGTAACCCCCCACGGCGTACCATTGCGGATAAATTATGAGGAATTTGAAAAATCCGCAAGACGAGGTGTCGTTTGCCATATTAGCCAGTATCGTTTACCGTGAACAGGGCTTATTATAGGAAACTACGTAAGTTGAGCTGGCCAGTGATAGTCCGGCAGTCTTCAATCGACACCTTTGTCAACCCCTTGCTGCAGCTTTGTTAAGTCTATGCGTGTATTGACGCTTGGCTTTTATGTATTTAGTCTATGCGTATATTGACAATATGCTTTTGTATATACAACTACTTTTCTGACGTTACTGTGTAAAGTATTCGTTTAGTTTTATTAGGGGTTGACAGAATATTTTTCCAAATTATACATTTCAGTAAATACAAGTTTTATCGACAATATTACAAGAACAATTAGTTAGTGTTGTATTTATCCTTGAGGGGTGACATATTACCGCCTTAGGAATGATTCAAATTTCTTACTAAAACTGTTCCCGGATCTCTTCTACTTTAGGCGCAGTATGGTCACCATGTGGTTATAATAGGTTACACAGAGCCTAATCGCAAAGCTCGGTGAAGTGACGGCCTGAGGAGCCCAGTCTAGCAACGTGCCTGTTGAAGCTTACGTAGCATTAATTACTTACTTTCAAGGGAGCCGTGATGTTATTTAATAGTGATTTAAAAGAAAACTAGTTCTGGTGATTCTACCGCAGTTATAAACTGCTACTTTTTGTAAGTCATCTTAATTACATTTTATTATAAATAAAAAATCCAATATGGCAGCGGAGAGTCACTGTGTGCGTAAGCTCAAATGACACCCTATAAAAACAGTATCAGACAACCCGAGTCGACACTCAACACAAATAATGAGTAATTCCAAATTTAAAGGAAAGCATGCGCCGGCGCCGAGTACTCGACACCAGTGTTTCTTAGAACGGTGGTTAGGGGCGCCACCGTGTGGGAACCGGCAAGCATTGTTCCTCTGATTTCACCTGACTCTCATCTAACGCACTACTTTACGACACTAATACTGTTATGTAGCACCCATTATCATATGTATTTCATTGCTCATTTTAGACCACAAAGCAAAAGGTGAATATTATAGTTTTGACATCTGTCTGCCTGTGTCGTCGTAACTTTAAAATGGATTGTAATTTCTAAGTTAACTTATTTTTGTATATACACATTAATTTTCATATTATTATAATATCCCACTAATTAAGAGATACCAAAGACTACTAAACCTTTAAGTTATAAAAAAAGCTTCATTTAGTACTTAATTATTAGTTACAGGAAGTAGACAGTTGACAAGTGGAAACAAAAAACTAGACCAGTAGCTATTACTGGTCAACCATTTTAAATAGAGTGAATCTTGTTCCCCATTCCAGTGGATATGGACTGGAATAAATTGCCCATAGCATTAAATCCACCTTATGCAATGTTAACTTATAACAGCGGAAGATTAATCGAAGTGGCGTGCAATAGGAGAGGCCTATGAGCAGCAGTGGGATGCGATAGGCCGATTATGATGATCATGATGATATTCAGTGTATTTGTAGGAGATATTAAATATATATTTATTTAGTCAGTTTTCGGAATCGAGTGGATAAAAAACGAATTCATACATTTACACTGCGATTTAAGCACATTTAAAAGGTAGCACACTAACGTCCACCTTGGTCACTAGCGCGCTAACTTTTAGTCAAATTGGTAGAGGACCGTTCAAAGGTTTTAGCACACGATCTAGGTTTTTTAGTCTTTAAAACTGTCTTCAATTAGTAAGCTCATAACTCTGATTATAATAATGACGAGCCGGACGAAACCGACGAACCATTTGTAACAACCTCCATGTAACCTGTAAACTAGAACAGGTTGTTTTCACTAAAACAAATTGTGTTCGTCTTCATAGTAGGTTATAAATTAAACTAACTTTCACCCTCGGTTGCTTTTTACTTAATAATGCTTTTTACTAACAAATTTCAATGTTTAAACTTTAAGGGCTCAATCTAGTTTTAATATTCTGTAATTTCTTAAACCACATTTTATCCTAATATGATACTCAATTTCATACAAAGTTTAAATTTTCGAAATAGTTTCGGCAGTCTAATAAAATTAACGGTCCGAAAAGTAACGTATTTCTCTATTAACAAAAATCTATGAAAAATCATTTATAAAATAAAAAAACTTCCTCACACACGGCCACAACAGACACAAAAAATAATAATGTTTATAACACATCTATTTGTACTGGTTATGAATCGAACTCACGACCTCTAACTTAGCAGCCAGGCTCACTAACCACAACCATTCTATTAATAATTTTTAATTTTACTTTAAAATACATCTCACTGTAAAAATATCTAAAAGTGGCTCAAATAAAATAGATAAATAATTACTCTTCTAATGAACACTACATAGCGTTTTCATGAAACGTATTAAACCAAGATGGCCAAGTGAGCAGACCTCCTTGGTTCCTATCTTTGTTGTATTAAAAAAAAGCTAACGCGCAATTCGAAAGTATACTTAGACCCTTATTTAAGATTGATATTCCACTCAAGGCGAATGAAACTCAACCTCATCAATATTGCCATCACACCTACATATGCCCTTACAGAGAAGACGATTCTCGATTAAAAAATTTAATGCATTCGGCAATTTGATTCCAGTCCAATCGAATATGCATTGATGGCTTAAGTTGGCCTGCAATGTTGTCCGACTGATTTAGTACTGATGAAAAACTTTCGACAACATTCCGAAAACACAATTCACGTGAACTGGAAGTTGTACGTTTAACGCACAATTTATTAAAACAAAGCACTAGTGGTTAAGTAACGTGTAAATTATCCCTTTGCATAGCAATATAAGATTTATAAGTTAATGACTCATAAATAAAAACTGAAAATTTGACTAATAATTCCCTTTTAAAAAGGTATCACCTTTCTATCACTGTCACCAGTAGTATGCCTTCAATGCGGCTAAATCATGATGAATTGAAATAAATATTTTTCTTTATTCCTTCTTTGAATAGTATTTACAACAGGCTAGTTAGAAACCTACAATAAGCCCGAAAATAATTCAAACGTAACTGATATTCATGATTTCCATTTGAATCCTAAACTTATTCAGATAATATGAAATATAACAAATTACACAACTATTCTGACAATATGGAACCTTTGAATTCAGAAATGAATAATATACAAATTGATTGTATAAAACGAGTGTTATGTACGGCAAACTGTATGTTTTCTTATCTATTCAATTTCAAGGCTGGAAAACACCCCTTAACAGAGAGATATATCGGTTTTCTATTAGCACAAACTGTAAACAACAGTTAACTAAGAAATATAATATTCATATAAATTCTGCAGCATTTGTACAATTACCAGACTAACAACAGAATAACTTAACACTTTTACGACGCAGCGGTTATACTCAATAATTTTAAACCTGCATAAATCTGTAATAAATAAAATATTTAACTATCAATGTTGCATGTCCAATAAAGTGCAAGGGTTATTGGACACATGTCATGTACCTAATGTCATATTGATTGCTCAAAGACGACACGTGCAATATGCGTGTAGTTTAGGCGAAACTATTCTAAATTGCAAAGTGTGTATTGTAAAGTGTTAAAGTAAATTACACTAAGCGTAATTAGTACAGTATTATATTTGTGATAA